TTTTGTATATACACTTTTAATTATGTTGAGGAATTTCCCTTCAATTCTTATTTTGTTGAGTGTTTTTATCAGGAATGGATGTTGTATTTTGACAAATGCCTTTTCTGCATCAATTGATATGATCATGTGATTATTTTCTTATTTATATGGTGGATAACGTTGATCATTTTTCTAATGTCGAACCATCCTTGCATCCCTGATATGAATCCCACTTGATCATGATGTACTATCTTTTTGATGTGGTGCTGCATTTTGTTGGCTAGGATTTTGTTGAGAATTTTTGCATCTATGTTCATGAGGGATATTGGTCTATACTTTTCTTTTTTAGTGATGGTGATTCATCATTAATATAACTTCTTTGTTCTCTCACTGATTCAGATGATTTATGCTTATGATATTAAAATGGAGCATCAAGAAATTTATTAACATTTTGTCTTTTTATTTATTCAGCAATATTTTATGATGAATTATTTCATTAAAAATTAAGGCACTTAACACTTGTTAAATAAGAACTACAGTGCAATTTGAATCAATAGCATCTACATAAATTGAATATGGTAAATGTATGATTCTTGTAATTCTCCTTAAAGCACAGAGTGCTTCCCAATGAATGCTCACTGTTGTCATGCTGTCTATCTGGATGGACCAAACACACAGAACATAGTGAGATGTTTTTCATGCACTGTTGAAAGGAAGCCCAGTGACGAATTGTATAACAGTATGAACAAATAAATTTATAACTTATATTAATAATTAATTTTATTAATTTAGCACAGTCACTATTTTATTATGGAGTATATATACTTAAATATAATTTATAAATACAGTATCTATCCAGGTATATAGTAGCTAAATTCATCAAGAATATAAGAAACATGACAAGTTTTGCAAGAGGAACATATAATATGAGATTTAGGGAATTATTAGACAAAGCATGAATTTTTAGAGAACCTTTGAATAAACTTACTCTAGTCCTGGTATAACATTGTAGGATAAAGCACTGCATCTCAAAGTCAGTTTGAACTGCAAGATTGGCAGTTCAAACTCACCAGCTGCTCCTCAGAAATACCCTATACAATGTTACTATGAGTTAGAACTGACTTGACGGCACTTAATAATAACAACAATTGCTAAAAAATTTCTTTTGATTTCTACCATCTTTCACTTGGAACTAAAAATCCTCCTTGTCAGGTTGACTAATGCTCTCTTCACATCTTTATTCCTAAGGGTATAGATGAAGGGGTTGAGTGTAGGCGTCACCACTCCATAGAACAGAGCCATGAACTTGGGTTGGTCCCTTGTGATGGAGGAAGGGGGCTGAAGGTACATGCTAATGCCTGGACCATAAAATAAGAAAACTACTATGAGGTGGGAAGAACATGTCCCAAAGGCCTTTTTCCTTCCCTCAGAAGATTTAATCTTCAACACAGCATGTCCAATACAAGCATAAGAAGCAAGAATTAAGCAGAGTGGAACAGCTAACATAAAAATGCATATGATAAAGAGTGTGAGCTCATTAACACTCTTTTCACCACAGGCAATCTTTATTAGAACAGGAATCTCACACAATAAGTGATCCAGTTTGTTGAGACCACAGAGTGGTAACTGCAATGTAACGGTGGCCTCTGAGACAGCATAGGTCATTCCACTCAGCCACATAATGGATACTAATAGGATGCAGATTTGCTGATTCATGATGAGGGTGTAGTGTAGAGGCCTGCAGATGGCCACAAAGCGGTCGAAAGACATAATAGCCAGGAGCAGACATTCTGTGCCACCCATCATATGGAAGAAATAAAGTTGAACTGCACAGCCCATGTAACTGATTGTCTTCTTAGAGCTTCCCAAGTTAAACAACATCTGAGGGACAATGCTTGTGGTATAACACATGTCCAAAAAGGAGAGGTTAGTGAGAAAGAAATACATGGGGCTCTGGAGCTGGGGGTCTAACCTGGATACCAGAATGATGGCGATGTTTCCCATCATGGCCATGGGGTATGTCATCAGAAGAATAATGAAGAGTGGAAGTTCTAGCCATGGACGGTCAGTGAAGCCTAGTAGAATAAACTCCTCAGGGTGACTTTCATTAATTAATGACACCATCTTCAGTTTATTTAAACTGTAACTGGAAAGTGATAAAGAAAACAACGTCCAAATAACAAAACATGATTATGTATTGATCATCCATTCATAGCAGATGATGTACTTGAGGATGAAATAACATAAATGATCTAGCATGAGGAGACCTAACTTCCCTTTATGACGCCACAAATTAAAGGCAGTCGCTTTAACCATTCTGAAACTGAATTTCTTCCTTTGTATAATTAGAGTCCAGTAACTATCTCCTTGTGTGGCACTGTAGGATCAGCACTGGACTGTCAATCACAAGGTGAGCAGTTCAAATCCACCAGTGCTCTTTGGAAATCCTATACAGGGGCGCTATGAGTTGGAACCAACTCGATGGCACTTAACAACAATAAAACATCATCAACAACAGCAACTATCTCCTTGGGTTGTGGTAAGCATCAAATGGAAAATAAAAGTAAAGGTAAGGTGTTTGGGAAACTCCAGTGTAATGGTATGCAACTTTGGTTTGCAAAATAATCAGATGAAGAGGCTGTTTAAAATACAAGTTATTGATTTCTATATCCAAGTGTCTAATAGAGTTGATGTAGTGTGGGACCTAGATACTGCATGTCTCATTTCGAGAAACACTGATGTAAAACAGTGTCAAAAAGAGTCAAGATGCTGAGGAGCTGACTGTTTGGCACACAACAATAACGTATTTGAAGAAGGAAAATGGAAACTACCGGAGCTGTAAGAACATCAAGCTAGTGTTGTCCAGTCTCACCTATTTAGTTGCATAATTAAGTTGTCTCTATGTGCAATTGAGTAAGAAACTAAAACTGCTTTAGCTTCAGTGTCTTTAATTATACATTTAGACAGTTGAGCATACCCAAGAGTTTATTTCTGTGTATTTTTTTTTTTATAAGGCTATTGAGTGCAAACTTGGTGTACTTTATATTTCATGGAGAATTGTAGCTAGTTTATCCATATTATAGGGATCTTCATTTGTGGAGTGGGCTGATGAACCTGTTTTTTTTTTTTTTTTAATTTTTTTGTGAATTATATGATAGTCTACATGGGAGAACTTTAGCTCTACATTCATTCCATCTCACATCATCTCACTGCCATGGTTCCAATCCCCTCCATGCACCATCAACCACCCAAAGGGTATATCCCAGAAACCCGCCCCCTACACTTCCCCCTTCTCCCCCTAGTTTTCGGTCCACAGTCCCTTTCCCTCTCTGGGTCCAAGGCTGATGAACCTGTTTTATGTAAGAGTTTGGACAGTTGTCAGTGATTCTCTGATTAGTCATAGTTACAAAATATATTCATAACTCCAAGAAGCTGTTAGCAGAAGAAAAGTCTATATCCCACTTTAGGCTCAGAGATTTATTCTAGCCCCCCAAATTGTTTTATCTTTTTTTTCTTAAAGTTAAAAAACACAATGACACAACATTAATTAGCTGAGTGAAGTAGCAATTTGAGAACGATTAGCTTGGCAATGAGGTTTTTTGTTATGTGTTTTTCTATAAGTGGTAAAGTATGTTTTACAAAATCCATAATCTTTCTTAAAATTAAACATATTCAGATGGAAAGTTAAGATATTGCACATACGCAACAAAATTCTGAGTTACTCAAGTGGTCAATTACCTTTTTAATGATACCTTCCTAAAAGCACAATTTTCACAATTTCTTTTGCAATAAATCTCAAAGCCATCCTGTGAGGACTAAGATGTGAGTAATACCCTTTGATGACACACTACCCTAGTCTACTAGTGTACAACAGCAATAACAAAACAAAATTAATTCCAGATAGTCCTTAATGATCTCTGTGTGTCAAATACTGCAATATACTATTTATATTGATCAACTCATTTAGTTTTCAGTACCCATAGTTCTGGATAGCTTATTGTTCATCACTGGTTTCTATTCTATAGCGAATAAGTAGGGAGGCTCTAAAGATGAAAAAGCAATTAATGTTCTAAATGAGGAAGTGAAGTAATGAGGCAAAATTAGGAGTTTCAAGAATCCAGAGAAAGCAGCTATACTCCAGGGATATTTCATGAATGAATGGTGTCCCTTCCATCCTAATTTGAGCTTCATGTTATTAAAAATGTTATATGAAAACATTAAAGGCAAAAACATGTCTTGGACTAAGTTAATTTTCAGGTGAATATTGTATGTCATATGAATTGATTTACTTGCTAAAATAATTATCCTAAAAATTATAATCTGCCCACATCATTAAATAATTGCACTGCAAGACAATTGCCTATTACTGTAAAAACTTGATATTCACCTTTTATTTTATCATCATGGATTGTTTCTTAGCCTTTTAAACACTAATTTTATATTTGATAGTCCATAAGTTCTTCCATAATTAAGTCCTGGTAAGGAGCTCTGGTAGCGTAGTGGTTACAAATCGGACTGTGAACCGCAAGGTCAGCAGTTTGAAACTACCAGCTGCTCCGCAGGAGAAAGAGGAAGCATTCTGCTCCCGTAAAGATTAACAGCCTCAGAAACCCTGTGCAGGGTTGCTATGAGTCAGAACCGACTCCACGGTACACAACAACAACAATGGTGCTGTAGATAAGCACTAGGCTGCTAACTGCAAGGTCAGTGGTTCAAACCCACTAGCTGCTCCTTGAAAACACTATACAGAGTTGCTATGTGTCAGAACAACTTGATTGTCACTTAACAACAATTACCAACATAAATGTAAAAAGCAGAGAGCATTTCATTTCAGGGAGCTTTTCCTAAACTTTGGGAACACCTAGCTGATTGGTTAGGAAACAACTAACTTTCTCTTTATTGTAAATTAAGCTCTCTCCTTTACTCAAAACAACCTTAAAAATTTATATAATAAGAAACACTGTATCTGAGGGATGTCAAATACCTGAATGAGGTCATATGACCTTTAGTCATATGACCTTTTTTTTTAAAAAAATTATGTAGTCAAAATTTGATGGCTTGAGTGTTTTTAATTGGATAGTCCAATTATCAGATAGATACAACTTTTGTTTCTTACAATTCCTTTTATAAAACATAAAGGTAAAAAGTGTTGTAAACATGAATAAAATATTATATGTGATCTAAAAAGGATAACACACTAGAATGAAAAAAGGGAGATTTTAAAACAATGGAGTCATGGCATTGTAATGACATGATCTTAAACAGCTGTGAGTAAATGTTTTGCCACATCATGTAGCAAAACAGTGATAGAAAAAACACTACATCCAACAGCTAAAATGAAATATCATGAGAATGATGTGGAATAAGTAAGATTTAGGGAAAGAATTTTGAGCTTAAATGTACTTCAAAAGTAAATTACATTGATTAGGTCTATCTATTATTATGTTTCTAAGGACCTATCCTTAGAAATTCCCCATTTATGAAAAGATTTCAATGTAATGAAGGAGAATCTGGGTGGTCACTATTCACAAACAAGATTGTACTTAATAAGGCAAGTAAAATGAACAAATTGCCAATTAATATAATAAATATAATTCCTAAAAGCATACTTGAATGAATATTGTAATTAGAGTTGTTGTTAAGTGCTGTCAAGTTGCTTCCAACTCACAGCGACCCTGTATAGGGTTTCTGAGAAGCAACTGTTAAGTTTGAACTGCTGACTTTGGTATCCAAAGTGACCTTATGGTCAAGTGCTTATCCTACAATGCCACACCAGGACTTTATTATGGAAGAACTTATGGACTATCAAATATAAAATTAGTATTTAAAAGGTTAAGAAACAGTCCATGATAGAAAAATAAAAGGTGAATATCAAGTTTTTAAAACAATAGGCAATAATTGTCGTATGGTGTAATTATTTAGTAGACTCCATATTAGTCACTAAGCCTTCCCTAAGAATGCATGGCATTATAAGAAGAGTGTGTTTTTACTCACCTTATTTTGAGAAATATCACTCAATGAAGAGTGATTTGTTTTGAAGAAAAGTATTTGAACTTTTGAAAGCTCACAGGAGAAACTGTAGTATACAGAAGAATATCTAAGAAATAGTCTCAGACTATGTTTCTCAGTTGATGCAAGAGACTAGAAAAAACAAAACAAAACATGGTTTAAGAAGATAATAGTGGATATATCAAGGATGTCTTGGTGATGTGTAGTTTGTACTTTATTTCTGAGGCCTTTTGGGCGTTGTTTTCAAGCAAGCCATTTATCCCTATCCCATGTGGATTAGGAGAGAAAGTTCCTTGGGACAGGGCTCTCTGAAGAAACGCTTCTTGTGTCCAATTAGTTGCCTATTGCATTGAGTAAGTCCCTTTGAGTGTTAGGATTATTCTGAAATAAAATCAGTCAATTTTCTAAGAAAATGGCTCACTAATTTAAAAAGGATAGAATTAGAGCTGAGCTTATTTGAACGAATCATTCAGAAGACTTAAATAGGAGTCTCTTCATTGTCTCACATATTGTTGTTGTTAAGTGCTGTTAAATCGATTCTGACCCATAGCGGCCATGTATAGGATTTCCAAGGAGCAGCTGGTGAGCTTGAACTGTTGACCTTGCAGTTCAAACAGCTTTTTAGTCTAGTGCATTAGCCCACAGAGCCACACTAGGACTCCATGTCTCACAGAAGATCCAGTTATTTCTATTCCTTTCAATAGTAGCACAAAGATAAGTTGGAAAGGAAAGGGAAAAAATCAATTTAAGTAATCTCTACAAGGAGAGGAGTAAGACAGGGATGCAGAATAAGTATTTGGTATAAAAATAAGTATTTGGTATATATATATATAACAAGTGGTGGTGGTTATGTGCCGTAGAGTCGGTTCCGACTCTTAGCGACCCTGCACAGGGTTTCCGAGGCTATAAATCTTTATGGGAGCAGAAAGCCTTTTCTCCCGTGGGACAGCTGGTAGTTTCGACTTGCTGACCTTAAGGTTTGCAGCCCGATTCGTAACCACTACGCTACCAGAGCTCCTTATGTAACAAGTAAGAGGAAAGTATATAGAGACCAAAATTGTATTAGTGGTTACCATGGTGTAATAGAAGCAGGAAAAGAGTTATTGCCGATGGAG